TGGCTCATGGTCACCCTGTTGTCCCCCAGCACTCCCAGTCCCTCTCCACAGAGCTGCTCTCCAGCAGGTCTGCCCCAGCCTGTACTGGTGCCTGGGGTTGTTCCTCCCCAGGTGCAGGACCCTGCCCTTGCCCTTGTTGAACCTCATCAGGTTCCTCTCTGCCCAACTCTCCAGCCTATCCAGGTCTCTCTGGATGGCAGCACAGCCTGCCGGTGTATCCACCACTCCTCCCAGCTTGGTGTTATCAGCAAACTTTGCATCAGCAAACAGCAAACTCGGGCGGCTCACGTGCGCCCATTGCCTTTGTCCTTCCAGGTACATGATCAGACGCTCCCTGGAGCAGCACGGGCTCCCCTGGGCCGTCATCTCCATTCCCGTCAACGTCACCACCATCCCCACGTATGAAATGATGCAGCCCCCTTGGACCTTCTGGTAGCAGCGGCGGGCCATGACCAGCTGAGGACTTCTCTGTGGATCCCAGGAGCTGGCCCCGAGGACCAGGTTTGAGGAGGATCCCACTGCCACGTTCTGCACCAGGGAGATCTTTCTCTGCTGAAGGGCAGCCACCAGTGCCGGCGGTGGGAACCTCAAGCCCGGCACCGAGCACGCTTTGTAGTGACTTTGCGGGAGGGAGGCGATGGCCCAGCGCTTCCCCAAGAAACGTCTTCGTGATGCGCAAGATGCCACCGGTAATTTGTGCGGCTGATTCAGAGGGATGCGTGGGTGAGGTCCAACAGGGATGGGAGGGAGAGCGAGATGCAGGCTTGGTCTGTGCTAGCGGGCCTCACCCAACATCTGTATATTTTTGTCTGAGCTAATGAAGTCTGAACAAGTTTTAGAAAAAGGGGAGTTTCTCTTTTTTCATCAGTCAGGGGATGAAGGAACAAATCTCATCCCTGAGCGATGTTTTTCCTAGTAAACTTCCCGAGATGGCTCCTGCAGCTGGGGCCAGGCTCGGCTCGGAGCCCTGTGCAGCGTGGATCGGTGACGCAGTGGGGCACAAACAGCCCCACGGGACAGCGACCCAGAGCCCCCACCTCGGTGGGTGTCTGCTCCCTCATCCCCCGGG